AACCCAAACCATCTTCAGTTTTGAACTTTTAAAGATTTAAACGGTGCTGAGAGTTCTATAATACCATACTCATGTATATATTGTATTGAGAGATAAAAAATTCATTCTTCTACATCTTATTTTTTGTCATCAATGCCAACATTGTCGATCTAATCTTTGTCTCCCATGACTCTATGACCATCACTTGTAGCTTAGTGACAATCTGATTTATCCCTTTCCTGTGATTCTTTTGCTTTTTCGACTTCTAACATGTTTCTTCACTTGGATTCTTCAAACTAAAGAAATGACATCTCATTTACAACAAAGTATAACATCGCAAGCCCTTAAAAATAAATTTCCAAATTCAAATTACAATAATTAGATTAGCTACATTAGTTTTTCATTAGTGTAGATCCATCTACCAAGAGACCTTGGAAAAATGTGATTACCTTAAGTAATATGGTTCTTCATCTTGCACAATCTTTTGTAAAAAATGTCTCCAAATTCTGGTGAGTAAATTTCATATCCTTTAGTAATAGTAAAATAACAAGTCACTTTCTTCAAACGCTTACCTAAAAATTCTGAGATACAATTACACAAACATACACAAAATAAAGAAAAACATAATTTTCCAACGCACATGCATCAACTTAGACTAACACAACTGCATGAATCATTCATTAAAATGCACACCCTAAATTATAAGATACAAATATTGGAATTTTACTCAAACCCTTCATTTTCACACATTGCCAATTTGCCATAAATCTACACAATCCACATATCATTCACACAAATATAAGGAGCATAAACTTTTAAAGCTCTTACAAAAATCACTTGTTCTGTTGTTATGACTAAACATGCACATATATTTTTCAAGTTTTTTAAATCATACAAAAATGATGGAAAATTTTATTTATTCGTTAGTTAAATTTTTCCAAGGGGTCATGTGCAAGATTAATCAGGGTTGATGCTTTTTTAAAATCACGAGGCTCTCATGCCTAAAATGTTTATTTCACATGAGGCATGACACTGAACACATGAACACACACACACACACACATATTTCTTGGTGCTACAGATTTATTCTTACTTTTCATGGCAATGACTCTTTTTATTTCATCCACGAGGCTCTCAACTTTGTATCTCGTCCAAATGCAATTGGTGTACATATTATATCTAAATCAAGAGTTAGGCAAAGAAGAATGAAATATGACTAATATCAATTCACCCAATGCCTTTAATGGAAATTTATCAAAACATCTAAAATAATAAATTATATGTAGTTAAAAATGAACATAATAAGTAGGTGTTTCAAAATTAAGTATTACAATAAAGCAGAGGAATACTATTAGTAAAATTAAATAGGATAATCTAAAACCTAACTTCTTGTTGGGTGTGTTTCGGAAAATAAAGAAAATTAATTAAAATAAATTAATTAATTAAAATGACGAAAGAAAAACAAGAAAAGAGATGGAGCAGAATTTGTCAAAGCTCGTGCTACGCACGATGTCCTTAAAACGTATTTGTTGCCTCCCACGGTGCTAGGAGCGTTGCAACAATAGTTTCCCAGGATACGATGACAACGAACTAGTGTTTGAGCACACAAACAAAAGTTCCAGCGAACGAGAACACAGTATGAACACAGGGGAAATTTTCGGAATGCTAGCAGTGTGTTTTTAGAGCTAAAACGTGTATGGATTTGTGTAAGAACCTGTGTTGTTGCAAACCACCTGCCAGCCATTATATAGGAGGATTTGTTGTGTGTAAATGGTGAATTAATGGACCTGAACGTTGGACATCAATGACCAGTCCGTTGGGCATTGAATCGTCCATGAACTGTCCATTTAACGCTGCATTAAAAGATAAGAACGTTGGGCATTAATTGTTGGAACGTTTCAGAAGTGCGAGAGAAGACCTCCATCAGAACTCCCCGGGAGGGGTTCTGATCGGAGGCCAACTCTGATCCGCGGCCATCAGAGTACCCCCAACTCTGATGGGCGGCCATCAGAGTACCCCCAACTCTGATGGGTGGCCATCAGAATACCAACGAGAAGGGTTCTGCCATCAGAAGACCATCGAGGTGTTCTGATCCGAGCACTTCTGCCGCTGGGAAAAAATTAAACGTTTCGGGAAGAAAACAAAAATTAATCGTATCTCTTGAGAGATAGATTTTTGGACGACATTCGTGTCCGCAGGTCGCCCGCGCACGCAAGTCGCGGTTTTTCTTCTCCGATTTCGGGATTTGATTTGCACCCCCCCCCCCCTGCGCGCGTGGAGAGAGCCTCTACCCTAAGAAATCTTAACTCTTTAAGGGGGGAGTCCCTTTATAAAGGGTTGCAAATCCCTTGGGTTTTCCGGTGTGGGAAATTAACACTAGAAACCCATCCTTTTTCCCAGTTTTTCCATTCTAACGGGTAAACTTCGAAAAGCGATTTCTCATTCACCCGTTATCCGTTTTGAGCGTACCATATATCGAATTGTAGCTCTTAACAAGGACAATCCGAAACCACTTTGACCCGACCCAAGTCGGAAGTGGACCCCACTCAAAAAATTTCCCCAAAATAGCCATTTAATGCAATTTTTCACACATTTTTCCAACACTTCTAACATCATCTTTTTTTAAATCATGGGTTTAGGAAACTCAATAAAATATAAAACAGTCAAGCACATTTGCCTTTTTGGGAAAAGTGTAATAGACATGAAGTGATTTGTTGAAAGTTACCCAATACTGGGAGAGTTTGGAGTGTGTTGGGGGCAATTGCAAAACTTTGCTCATTGAACCACTAAAGCTTGTCAGTCAAAACACGCTATCTCCTTCAAAAAAAATGGAATGTTCTCTGGTCTAATATCCAATAACTGTTGCATAAACTTAACTCCTCCAAATCTCCAATCTTGTTCATGTGTATCAAACAGATTGCAAGGTTGCATTTCATATTCCTATGAAACAAAAAAAATCTCACTTTCTTAAAAACCGCAAAGTTGAAGAATGAAGTTCTTTTGGGATCGGAGAGAGTATATTACAGAAAAATGTATAAATCTGAAAAATATATTGAAAAAAAAAGTGTAAGAATATGAATAATATTACATACAGAAAAATAGTTTATGAATATGAAATGCAATATACTTATTTTTTTAGATGAAATAAAACTTTTGCAATAAATTAATAAAGAATAAAAAGATAAATTCAATTGTAATTTAAGTTGAAAATAGAGAAATGTAAAACTGCAGTTAAATTTTTAGTATTTTAATGGAGAAAAAGAAAATAATCAAAGAAAATAAAAATAACGAAGTATAAATCAAAAAATTGAAGGAGAAAAGGGAACAATAAAAAAGAGAGTGCACATTTTCAACATAAAACTATTGTTTTAAGCCTTAGAGCAAGCTACTGATCATACGCTGATAATTCGAAGAGTTATTCTTCTTGTACACAAATTGTATAAATCTATGTGCACAAATTATTGACAAATAATTACTGATATTTTTAATGAATTGCCTGTGTGCATAAGTAATTATGAAGTGTATACAATTTATTTATTGATTTTGTGTACAAAAGTAATTTTTTCTAATTTGAATTATCACAACTTTTTAAAAATTTTGGTTGAGGATCAACAAAATTGGCTAGATTTATCCACCTAAAAGGGGAATTTTGATTTGCATTCAACTTTTGTGATATTGGACATTGCATCCAATTTTCAAAACTTTTAGATTTTGCACTTTATCGTACAACATTTTGTGTAAAAAAATTATTGAATGAGGTGCAAATGCAAAGACATTTTAGGGGAAATAGAATTTAAAGTTTAAACAAGGGAGCTCCATACTTATTCCTACGGGTCAAACAAATTCCAGCTTAGTTGAATTTTTGACAATATTCTTTAATTTTATGGGTCTACTTAATTTAGCACAGGAGGACCCGACGCTTGAAATTCACAGGACCACGTCAAACTCTGAGGAGGTCTCATCTATATCCAAAGAGATTTTTAATGCAGAAATCAAGACCTGCGGATACAAGATTCAACAGCCTCTCCCCAACGAAAATCACCCCAAGCAATTGTTGCTCAAGGCTTACTCGGACGCGTCAAACAACTTTGATCCCTCTAATGACTCATTTGCTTAAGACAGACGGCTACCTATTTCCAGTCGCGAAGACATGTGATTCTAGCTTCAATAGAGAGATCTGCTATAAATCCCAATTCGTCACTTTAGACACAAGTCTGCCAACAGAGAATATGAATACGCAACTCAAAATATACAGAAAAACTCAGAAGAATAAACGGCGTCATAGCATGAAGACTAGATCGCAATCCAAAAACTTTCCGTGGGCATAATCTTTGTTGTACACAACCTTTCATTCAATAAAATTTTTACTTTCCAAAAAAACAGAATTTAAAGTTTAATTTTGAAAATAGAGTGCAAAATTTAATATAACCTCACAAGTAGGGTCCAAAGTCAAAATATTCCCTAAAATAATCCTTCTTAGGGAGTGTTTGCAAACGCTTAAAAAGCGCTTATCGGCTTTTAGGTTAAAAAAGTTAAAATTAGTGTTTTCAAGTGATAACTTCTACTTAAAAAAACGATTCTCGACATTTGGCTGAAAACTACTTTTTACTTTTTCTATTACACAAAAATCACATATTTTATCAAACATTATCAAATTTTACTTTTCAAATCACTTTTTTCTAAGACACTTTAAAAAAGGTTTTTTTAAAACAAAAAGGCTAAAGGGTCAAATAGGCCCTTGAACTGACTTAAAGTATTCAATTAGCCCCTTATATAGGAGGTTCTGCCCGGCCATCGCCAATTGGGGCGGTTATAGGTGGAATTTTTTGATGAATTTTTTTGAGCATCTACTTCATTAAGCCTAGTTTACTCATACCAAATTTCAGCTAAAAATTCAACCGGGAAAACAGTCAAATCATTTTTTGAAGATAACTGCAAAGTTAAATAGCAGAGTACATTTCGGAAAATCATACAATCGGGAAAGTATTCAAATCCATTTTCAACTAAACTACTGAGTAACTACTAACTAGCAGCTGAATACTTGAATCTCCAATTCCACTGTTCGGTCGCTACTCTTAACGAAACCCTAATCCTATTTTGATCCACGGGTTCGATCGATGCGGATTGATAAATCAGGTAAGATCTTCGTGGCGGGTCACGGTGGCCTCGTCGGATCCGCCGTGGTTCGCAAGCTCAGCCACTTCGGTTACACCAATCTCCTCCTACGCACCCATTCCCAGCTCGACCTCACCGTCCAACCTGCCGTTGACGCATTCTTCGCCGCCGAGAAGCCTGATTACGTCATCCTCGCCGCCGCCAAGGTGGGCGGCATCCACGCAAACAACACCTACCCGGCAGATTTCATCGCCATTAATATCCAAATCCAGACCAATGTGATTATCTCAGCGTACAACCATGGGGCTAAGAAGCTTATATTCCTCGGGTCATCATGCATTTACCCGAAATTCGCTCCTCAGCCGATTCCAGAGGATGCATTACTCACGGGTCCTTTGGAGTCCACAAACGAGTCGTACGCCATTGCCAAAATCGCGGGCATAAAAATGTGTCAGGCTTATAGGATCCAGTACAACTTTGATGCTATTTCCGCAATGCCCACGAATTTATACGGACCTAACGACAATTTCCACCCAGAGAATTCGCACGTTTTGCCGGCTCTGTTAAGAAGGTTTCACGAGGCCAAGACAAGGAATGATGAGAAAGTGGTGGTGTGGGGGAGTGGATCACCGTTGAGGGAATTCCTTCATGTTGATGATCTTGCAGATGGTATAGTGTTCTTACTGGAGAATTATAGCGGCCTGGAACATGTGAATGTGGGGAGTGAAAAGGAGGTAAGCATAAAGGAGCTTGCAGAGTTGGTGAAGGAAGTAGTAGGGTTTAAGGGGGAGATTTTCTGGGACTCATCTAAGCCTGATGGAACTCCAAGGAAGCTCATGGATAGCTCCAAGCTTGCAAGAATGGGTTGGATACCTAAAATCTCTCTACGTGATGGACTTACTGACACCTACAAGTGGTACTTGGACAACTATGTGCAGCAATAGTGCAGGTGATTGCCTTGCACTAATTGTTACCTCAAAGAAATACAGTATCATATTGATGATTTTGTTTTCATATTTATTTTTGTCACACCGTTGCAAAAAGATTAAAAACATACTTGCTGGATAACTGGGCTGTACTATTTTCTGAATCTTTATAGTATGAAGAATTGTCATCTCCTTTATCATGAAGAAGTTTAGTTTGTTCTCTGAAGAAATGAATAACAATGTGTACACTGGTGTTCTTTGCGATTTCACACTGGGATACAATTTAACTTAAATAAGATGTACTGGAAGTTTTTAAATCTTTCAATTGTCACAACTCACAAGTGCCTGAAAAAGCCTTTTACTATACCCCTGTAGCACCTGTTAGCTTTCTTTACAAGTTCACGCATCTATAGTAAATACATTTCAAGGATACATTTGAGGAAAGCAATGACACGTGTCATCTTCTTTGCAATCCGTTCAGCCGAATAATTTAGGCTCTCTTTCTAAAATTGAAACGTCAAGTCTATTTCGCCGATCTTAGTTCCTCGAACATCCCTGAACCGATCAATAGGTAAAACTTAGTTGCTCACATCATAGTTCGACAGGTTTCTTCTCCAAATTTCAAAGACGGAAGATGGAAATTTCACAGCCCAGGTTCACATCTTATTCATCTGATTGTATCCTGCCACATTTTAGGTTTTGATAAAAGCCAACATGTTTTCAAAGTGATTCAACTTAGAATTCCTAATTAACGCATAATACTCCTCAAGAACTTCTTGTGAGAATCTATGGAAACAGTAGCTCAAGTTCTCACTTAAGCACTTCCAGGGTTTGTTCTTCAAATTTTGAAGTTGGAAGTTCCAAGTGCACATGCTCACATCCTATTTACCGTCTTTCTCTCTGTTAAAGTATGTGTTTAGGTTTTGGCCTACTCCGGATTTTAAATGATTCTAAATTTTGATTTTACCAATTCTAGGTTTTGTGTTAATAGATAAACCTATTTCATCAGTTCTAAATTTCGAATTGATTGTTTATCGATGCACTTATCTCTATTTGTTAACTGACATGCATTGTTGGATACCTTATTCACAATATATATGTATTTTCATGCAAGTTCTTTGCAAGTTTCTTTTTTCTTCACAAATAAACAACACCATATGGGTTGTGCTTAAGATCTCGGTTGCATAGTACTTCTTTTATGTTCTAAGCGAGAAGTGTTGTTAGAATCATTTTCACTATTTACTCATTATTCTTTATGTAATTTCATTTGCGGGTTGTCATTTCTATGGCCTATCATCACCATCATGGGGAAGTTGCTCTACAGGGTGTACATATTTTGATTAGAACCCTACTCTCATATTTTCGGTTAAGGTTTTATTGGGTTTCCAGTTTTCTTATTTCCATCACTGTAGTGTATTTTACCAAGAACCATATGTGTTACGTTCCTGTGCTTCCATTTCTCCATTTCTTTTAGCAAGTTTAATTGTCTCATATCAATGTTAATATCCAAAAGAATACTGTTTATTTCTTTGAGTACTCTTTTGTAACAAATATTGGAATTAATGGGTTGAGAGTCTAAGACTTGCCTCTTTAATTTGCTGAAGAGTTGAGAAATCAATCCACAGGGGATTAAAATTGAGAAATCTTTTAATTTAATATTTACTTTATGTTTAATTTCAGCTTTTACCCGTGCTATGCACGAGATAACATTCACTTTTGTTTTTTAACTATGTTATAGAATATAGAGAAAATATTTTAAAGAAAAATATTTAATGGTGCTGAATTGCCTCATGGTATATAAAGAACATGGACTACTTAATAAAGAAGATGATATTGAAGGGTGGTCTGTAACTGATTCATTGTTACAGAGAACTGAATTTTGAAACAGCCCTAAATCTACTGCGGATGGAAGAAGAAGGAAGATCGATAGACTTCAAAAGAAAGACAACGGATGTCAATTGTCAACAATATTAGCTATTTTGGGGAACATAATCGACCAGTCCAATCCTGGATTTGTCCATGGATGGACTCGGTTCGGGCCGGGCCTAGACCCGGTCGGGCCTCCGGTCCTGGATTGGAGGGCCCGGAACCGGCCCGTGTAACCTCCGGGTCTGGGTCGGGCCGGGCCTCGTTTTTTTTTGCCTTTTCCTAATTAACCCCCCCGTCACACCTAAACCACCCCAAACCACCTCAAATGGCCCAAAATACCCAGTCCAATCCAAAAACTTAAAAAAAATTCAAAAAAAAATATTAAAATGGCCCGGACCGGGCCCGAACCGGCCGGGCCGGTTCACGTTTTGAGGGGCCCGAGCCCGGACCGGAACCACCTCGGGTCGGGCCTACCCGGACCGGTCCTTGACCGGGCCACCGGGCCGGGCCAGAATAGTGGCAGGCCGTGCCGGTTCCGGGTCGGGCCACCCGGCCCGAGTCCACCCATAATTGAGCTTTGGGTATTTGATCATTTTGTGATGTCAGCAATGTTAGCATGTATAATATTAGCATGTGCACGAGATTAGTCTATATTTTTGGAAATAACGTGTTGACTTTGGTGCCTACTCTTCTTTAAACACCATTTTTGTGAGTTGGCTATGGTTGTTTTGGTGTTAATTAGGATGTTTTTGAAGTTTTTGGATTAATTTGCATACACCCTTACTCTTGATGTTGAGAAGAAAAAGGCACTAGTTTCCATTGTGTTATAATAATTCGTTTAGGATGTGTCATTTTGATTTTTGAGCATGAATTGAAACCACCTACGGTTGAGGTGGTAACAAAAAAAAAGTCCAACCTAACGAAAATGATGACTATGATTAAGAGGACTTTATTTGTAAGGATGATGCTGACTTTGCAAAGAACACAGATCCAACAGCTGAATATGGAGGGGTACACACCACTACCGAAGGAGAAGACTGAAAATTAAGCATTAATGGTAGACCCTAACCCAATTTGTCCGATGGCTCAATACACGACTCTGATTCTAATGCTGACAGGTGCAATAAATTGTGTGCTAAGACCGATATGAAAAATCCAACCTTTAAGTTGGGTATGACCTTTTCCACCAAGAATGAATTCAAGGAAGTAGTGAAAATCATGCATTTAAGATGGGTAAAGAGCTGATGTTTGTAAAAAATAATAAGGAACAGATTGTTGTGGAGTGCACGCATATTGGTTGTCCATGGAATCCATTCTTCATATTCATATTGACTCGCCGAATTCGAAGTTCCAGATTTATAGGTAAACATGCCGGCTTCTTTAGGAGGGCTTGTGGTGAAAGTGAGAAGACAATGGCTAGCGGGACACTGCTTGGTGTGAAAGAATTAGGATTCACGAATTACGCTTCAAACTTTTAACGACAATTGTTTTTTATATTATTTGAAAGGCGGGGGAGAGGGAGTTGTGTATGAAAACCTTATATGATATTAAACTAGACATAGTACCCGTGCGATGCACGGGTGTATCTAGAATAAATTTATGTAAAATACAAAGTATATTTTATTATGATGATACATAATGTGTATTTTTGTCAAATAAAAAAAATCAAGTTTATATGTCGTAGCTTTAATTATTACTCGTATATAATACCACATAGTAGCTGTAACGCCTGTAAGTAAATAAAAATTTGGTTCATATGAAAAATTGTAAGTAAAAATTAAAATAAAGGATAGGTTGTAACTATAAACACTATGAGGTAATGAAATTAATAATGGTATATTTATTAGTAGGTGTCAGAAAACTATAAACCAGAGAAGTCATAAATTTGTATGCCTTGCAAAAAGTATCATAAAATTTCAAAAACTTTTTTATAGACTACATTATTTATTAGTGGTGTTGATAGCATGATTTTCGTCATCACATATAAAAAATTTCAAGCCACTTTTTGAGGTTGATTTGTGACATGATAATGTAGAATTGATCCTGAGTAAAAACAGATTTTGAAAGATGTATACTCATTTGATGCAGAGATTGTACTTTTTGACTTTTGTTTGTCGTCATAAAAATGGAAACGACGATTGGAAATTGTCTGCATTGAAATTTGAAAGGAATTCCGCTATCTGACGTGTTGGACTAATGATAAATGTGGAATCAAAACCTTTTGACCAATACTTTTAGATAACGGGACCAATGGCGCATGGAATTTTTCGACATTAAATAGAGCGCAAGGACAAACATAGTTGAAAGTTTCTAAAAAAGTACAAAGTAAATATGTTTCTTTTTTTGGCTAAGATGAATATAGTTTATTCATATATTAAAAACAAAATGCCAATGAGATATTTTTTCCCAATCACTCAAAAAATGGAGAACGTTAATTCACTAATGTAATTATTGTGGTTTCAATTAAGCTAAAAAATTAATCACTCTGAATAACAGAGTGTTATTTCAAAGATATTTAAATTAGGATTGTGATCTAATTTTGCAGTAAAATATAAGTATTCACATTTGTAATAAAAATTATATTTACTTTGGTATGTGTTTTGAAATTATAGTCATTAATGGAGTAGTTTAGGATGTTTTTAATTTGACTAAAAAAATTGCTATGGTAGTTATTCTTTATATTTTTTACATGTATCAAAACCTGAGATGTGAAAGTTCTTCAATTGCATATATTTTATTAAACAAATACACAAAAAAATTATATGAAAAATAGTTGAATTGGTCTTCTACAATAATTTCAAATAATTCAGTCAGAAAAGTAAATGTAATCTTACTTATTTGGTCTTTTCATAATCCGTAACTTATCATAATTGTATCACACGTACACGAACTCTCCATTCGATGCTTCCGGATTGAATTTCATTGAGATTCATAATTTTGACAGGCATGATTAACACATATTTTTACCCGAATGCGATAAAATTCTTATACCTGATTTTCAGAAAGAGCTGATAGATATTTTTCCAATCAACAACTTACTTCAATTTGGTAATGGAATTTGCAAATGGAACTTTCTTATTTGAGTAGGGGTATATGCATTTTGCATTCTATTCCATATGAATGTTCTTTCTCTTATCAGATTTCAATATTGCTTCAATGCGGCTGATCATATACTTTACCTTATTTAATACCTATTCAGTACTCCGAAGTATACTCCATCCGTCCCACTAAGATGGTCCAATTTTTTACCTTTTCAGAAAATACCACCAAGATGGTCTCATACCAAATTAGATACAGTTTGTGTGGCTCTGAATCATTTTTACTTTATTCTCACTTTATCAATTCATTATCAACCACATAAACTCATTTTTTCTTAATAACCGTTTCACCCCTTGTTGCATCAATGTTAGTGAGACGAAGGTAGTAATAACTCTCATAGAAAATTGTACTTATA